TTCTGACAGTTGTTGTGTTTTCTATACTTTCACACTAAATATGCAACCATGCACAGCATCACACTAAAGCCAGTGTACTGAAAATTAGATGAGCTGACAGTGAGATAATCATATGGAGGTCAGCTGCTTAAAAGGCAAAAATGCAACATTGAGCTCTAGTAAATTTCACAAAGCATGACCAGTCTGTTGTGAGACTTAAAGAAAACTACTCAAGGTGCCATAAGCTGCCAACTAGAACATTATTTGTGGACATGGAAGGCTGCTGGTAAATGTAGTGTTCTCTTTAACAGGGATCTTCCACGGTAGTGCTGAGGGCATGAGCTTAGGACACACATGGCACTGAGGGATACCAGAGCGGTCCTACCAAATCCCGTTAGGTAAGCCTGGGTTAGTGATTCCACGCTGCGAGACACTGGCTAGCAGATCCGTCACGTTCCCACTACATCAAAGGAAAGTGCAGCGCTGCACTCCCTTCGCCCCCTCTTTCTCGCCACGAGGATCTTGCAGTTGAGGGTCCAAAGGGAAAAAGGAGTGAACGGCAATAGAGAGGGAGATCTCTAAACCCCCCCCCTTAACCGCAGCAACAAAACCCAGTGATTCTATCCAGTTCTCTCTTCAAACTGATGCCCAAGACTCACGAGACTGCTCTCACAGTTGGAGATCGCAAACACATCTTGAAACTAAAAGGTGGAAAAACCTGGTACTCTACGTCTGCACTATCAACATGTTAAAACTAAGAGCATGCAGCAGCATTTTTATCTTGTCAAGCACGCATTAATACGTTTATTAAAAAGGGAATATGGCAGAATGCCGTGGGCTCACTGGTTCTAGGGATTTGTTTAAACTTAAAAAAGAAAAAAAGAAAAAGAAAAGAGCGTGTAGAACAGGATTTTTTGCAAATGGGAGGGTGTTTATGTGACAACAGCAGCATGCTTTGAGAAATTTTGGGTCATTTAAAAATATGCGCTGCCCATCACATGCACTGCGATCTTTTTTTAGAAGCTGTCGTTTCTAAATCTCAGCTTTGGTTTGTGAGACTAAAGAAGAACAGATTCAATGATAAGCAAGCGCCGAGTGCGTCGTCTTTCACACATCAAACCTGGCGCGATGACATCCGTGCTGCTTTGAAGATCAGACTTTATATTATGATCATTCTGACCAAAACTGCAAAAAAAAAAATCTTATTTGTCAAGGTACAGATGCAGACACTGAGCAAATGAAGGTCCTTACTGCTCTTGACAGTCCTTCTAGTTTCTACACAGCAAAGGTTTAAAATAGCACAAATACAAATTATTCCAGGCAGAAAAACACTTTTCGCCTTATCAGATGATTCTGTAAGTGCTCAGGAAGACTGTTCACGGGAGGAAAAAAAAAGAATCCTGATGTGGGCAACAGCAAATAAAAATGTGTGTGAACTTCTGTCTCCTTAAGTCAAGGCTTCTCAGAGTGGAGACATTGGGTAACTAGTGAGCTGGTTATCCCTAGGCAAAAGGATACAAAAAAATATTGTGCTACAAGTTAAACAGTTGTACTGTAAATTAAAAAAATAAATACATTCAGATCAGGGGTATAAAACAAGCATACTGTGTGATTTACTTCCATCCACATCATCCTTGGGTCAGCAGAAACTGATAAGATTGTATCCTCTAGACTTGCGACATGTCACAAGTCAAGCGTTAGAATGATGAGCCTCTTTAAAAAAGACCTCACATGCAGTATATTCCTTTAAAACATGTCCACTTGTTCATATCAAAGAGTGCACTGAGCTTAAAAAGTCAATAAAAAGCTGTAAATCAGCCAAATTTGTCGACAAAAAAGCTTGCCACCACCCCACTAACCTGGTTTTCTGTATGCCTATAATCACAGCCAAGGTAATGAGCAACAGTCCAATATGGACAAATGTGATAATCGCTTTAAAATACACACTTCAAATTAGACAGCAGTTCCCACTAGCATTTACCAGAAACTCCAGTTTCTGTTGCTTTATGATCACCAAGGTGTAGATTACAGTCCTTACACTTTTACGCATTGAACTGTAAACTGTAAATCTTCAAAAGCTGCAAGTTCACTTAACAAATAAATGACTCCTTAAGTTGGCTAGCTTTGTTTTAAACCCACACGTATGAGGAACTGGCATCATCACACATCAAATTCTAAGCTCTTGTGCCGGAGTCAGCTTATCAAGCTGGAAGTCCTAAAATCTGCTGACAATCAGCAACTCCCAACAGCTCCGTCGTGACTGGACGGCATGTGCAGGAATGTCATGGTCAATGGAAATCAATCTAAACTACTGGGATTGGGGGCGGTGATGGGGCTGGGGATGGAAGAGAATGAAAGAGAGAATGTGCCTTTGATCTCAGTGAAAACCGATCCCAGGCCTGCAGATACTGTGGCTGCGGTGGCCAGCAGCAGAGGCAGCAAGCTGACATCAGTGAGAAAGCCAGAGGACTCATGTTCCGTGAGCCCTCCACCAAGCCTTGGCTCTTTTTATTGGATAAGTGAGAGAAACGTATATAAAATGACTACCGTTTTATTGAAGACAGGGAAGGAGGAAAATTGAAAAAAAAAAAAGCAGCCATGGTAAATGAAATGAAAGCGTGGCTTTAGAAGTTTTGGCAGCAAGTATACTGCCTAACTGCCTGGCCTAATTCATCTGCAGTGAAGGGTAATTTCCTCTCACACAGTCAGCTGGTCTCCATACAGACTTCTATGAGTTTTTCTTTTAACTTTGTGCTATACAATAAAATAATAGCTAAAATCTACCAGAAAACAAGCCAAAAAATAGAATTTGGAAGGTAACATACCCCGCTTGTGCACTATGCTGCTTGTAAACTGAAAAAAATCCCCCCAATCCACAATGTCATATACTTTCACCTTCTGCAACTTTGGCAGGGAGGAAGCATTGCAATTTTAACATCATTCTATGATAGAGTTGCGTGTGAATGAAGATCCTTTACACACAGCATGTGGCATCTGCCCCCGACAATCACATCTGCTTCCAAAAACTGATTCTTACAACAACACAGAGCTCACATTTCACAACTTTACCCTGATGAAACCGACTCGCACGCACTGCAAAAGCACAACAACCGAGCGTTTCCCGTATAGAGACGCCACACCGTAGACAAGACTGAAGCTGGCTGCAGAGACGTGAGCAGAGCAGGGCCAGACCGGACAGCTGCTCGTGCGCCCTGTGTTTTATGTCTGTCTTGAGGAGAAATTTGCAAACGGGACAGACACAGGAAGCCGCCAGTCAGAGACCTGCAGCTGGCCTGAAATTAATACCGTCACAGGGGCGATATCTGCAACACACGCCACCCCTAACACGGTACTATAGCCCCAGAGACATGATGTTGGCTCCCTCAGTTCTGCTGGGCTAATTAAAGGGTTTACTTGAGTCATGTAGGCATGCATCACTTCAGATTTTAACAAGATGAGAAATAGTGTACATCTCACAGAGACCGTTCACAAAGTATGGCTGGCGTTTGGTTTTCAGTGGTCACGTATAGCTGTCAAGAGGGCGGATATCAGCACAACACAACGGCGAGACAAATATCAAACATCACAAACACTGAAAGAGAATATTTTCGTGGTGTTATCCTGATGATGAAATAAGGTTTATGCCTCTAACGAGAAAGCCGAGAAATCTGATTTTTTTTTTCCTTAAATCCTCTTAATCGACTCTTGGAAGTATTCTGTGCTGAGCTGAATTTTTTAGCAGGAATTATTTTCTCGCAACTAAATGGTTTGAATTTTATTTTAAAGCCACCAATTAGATCACTCTGTAAAATGATTTACCTGCTGATATCCAACTCTGAGTCAATTTTACCCAAAAGCTTAAAGATGGAAATCTCTGTAATAAATCTTTCAATGCTCCATGAGAGACACCACAAAAAACGTCCCACATTGGCAAAGGACCTTTTATTTAGAGCAGCAAATATCTTTTTAGTTGTCTTGATACATCTCCTAAATTTAACACACACGCACACACACACACACACAAGCGCACACACACACACAAACACCAAATGCAAGCTATTGGTGTTGAAAGCGAAAACTCAAAAACCACAGATTTCACTTAATCGACAATATGAAGTTCTCAATTTGCAGTGGTTAAAAACAGAAACCAGCAGTCACAGCTACAAAAACATCAATGAGGTTATTTTTAGCTGATACATCATAAAAGATAAATACTAAAAAAAAAAAGGTCCTGAAAACTCTAATCTTGTTGTAAGGTGACACTTTTGGTTAAGTCTTGCACTCCTCTACAAGCGTCTGATACATACATTTGATTTATTTCTGGGATCACTGTGAAAATGTCATGAGTAAAAAAAATAAAAAAACAGCTACAACAACAACAAAATACCATCCTGTCCTGCTGCCTGTTGGCAACCCTTTGACAGTCTGCGGGTAGGTAAAGCAATAGCTCCTTCAGTCTGACCACACTCTTTGTTACATTAGCAGGATACGTGACATTACTGTAACTTAATTTAGGATCAGTTTTGCTTTTTAGTTTCTCTTGTCAGGAGAAATTTTGTCCTGAGCCTGGACTAAATCTGAGCAGGTGTAAAGCTGGCAGTTAAATCTCTGCTGGTGTTTTAAAGTTACCCATCATGTTTGTTTTTACCTTCCTTCCCACTAGCACTAATTAATTAAACAGAAGTTCCAAACTATTACTAACATCTACTATCATTTAACAGTATTAAAAAAAACTAAATTAAAAAAAAAGCTTTAACCCATCCAAAAAAACGAATTTCTCTCTAAAAATGCACTGCTTTTGTATTCATTTCATCACTCAGGACTGTCAATTATTTACTTTTCTCATAACTAAATAATTTTTTATATTCTTACGACGTAAAATTTGAAAATTCCTCTTTGTCTCACAGGCAAATGATATGCTGACTAACACACGTCAAGCTTAAGTTTGCATTTCACATCATGAAATAACACAAGTTAAACTGCAATAAAAACTGGAAGAAAAAAAAAGAGCTGGTACTGACCGTTCTGGGCATGGGCGGCGAGAGGGAGCCATTGTTCATGTAGGAATCAGTGTTCATGTTGCTCATCATGATGTAACCTGGGTAGCCCGGGTACGGATGGCCTTTACTGTACATGTCTTGATGCTTTCCTAATAAAAACATTTTTTAAAAAACAAAAAACAAACAAAGTAAACGCGTGTTGGTCGCTGTGTTTTTGCACAGAGAGCACAAACACCAGTAAAAGATTAATTAGCCAGAGATTCAATAGCTTTAATTACAGTCATATCTTCGAAATGGCTGATTTTAATCAACAAACTCGATAAGCAGCAACAACAAAGCCGAGCACAAAGTTGGCTTGGCTGTTTTGATGTAGTAATGATATCGCTGTCGATTGATTTAACCCCTGCCCTATTTTGCCACGGCCTTTTGTTTGTGCCTTTTCTTTCCGCCTCACAGAGGCGGGTCATATTATGCAGCGGAACAATGGAGCCCCTCTGTGCCAATTAGCACCAATTAGAAGAACATACAGACTGTGTCAAAACAGGAGACGCCCCAACTGTTCCTCTATGCCTTTGACCTGAGAGGGGGGGGAGCTTTGCACAAGAGGCTTCAATACAGCATCACTCGCCACTCGAATGTGCGCGGCGTAATAAGGCCTGGAGGGGCTGGGGCTGGGGCTGTTTCTGGTATACAATGTGACGGCAACATAGATCTTGTTGTGAAGAAAGCCAGTGTTTGATTTGAAGGGGATCCCATTCAGGAGTGAAAGGGGAACAAAGAGGAGGCATACTCCTCTTCAAAGCCCTAATAATGACCTGCAGCAGCGGGGTCAGACTACAATAGCCAGAGAGCAACAAGCCCCAAGAGGACGCAACATGTTGCATGCGACAATGCAACCGGAGAGCTGAGGGATACGACAGGAATATTTGAGGAAACACGACACGAAACAGCCAGACAAAAGTTTTGCTTTTGGGTTGTGCTCAACTGCTGCCATAAGTGCATATTTTTGCTCCTTCTTCTTTTATGTCCATTTGTGCAGGTACCCTCATCTACCAGGGAGGTAACAGGTAGCTGTGTTTATGAAAGTACAGCATGCCCTGACTAGACTTAGGATGAGCAGGAACAGGGGCTCTGATAAGAGAAGTACCAATAGTTTCATCACTTCTGCGTGGTGAAAACGAGGGGCCACTACTTCCACCTTATCTTCTAAAGCAAAAGCAAACCACATTTAAAAAGGAAAAAGGAAAAAAAAAGGACTTTTATTGCAAATAAATGTAGTGCTGATTGTCCTATAACACATGCTGATTTAACAAGCTCCAGATTGTGTCTCTTACCATCTTCCGGATGGTCTCTGTGTTTTTCATGATATGAATCTTGCGGTATTTGGGACTGTCTAGCTGCCTGTAAAAAAAGAAAGAAATAAAATTAAAAGACAGAGAGAGGGAGGGAGAGGGAGGGGGGGGGGGAAGAGAGGAAGAATCAATTAGAAAGGCATTCAAACACAGTTACACACATGCTGATGTGGTCAGACAGCCACAAACATTGCTGGGACAAACATCGTCCCTTTGCCTGTCACCAAAGGAGAGAAAGCTTATAGACACACACACACACACACACACACACACACACACACACACACACACACACACACACACACACACACACACACACACACACACACACACACACACACACTATCTATAGAAGAGTGATGGAGCAGCCTGCATCAAAGCTTCAGAAGAACCACTTAATTAAGCTTCATGTCTTTAAGGAGCTTACAAATTAGCTTGTTTTCAGTACCATAGGTCCACTCTCATTTTCATCTTCCAGTCTGAGCCTCCTTCTCAATTCAAATAGTGTGTTTGTGTCATAAATGAAATAGCTGTGTGCAAAGGGAAATAAAATCGCTCCATAAAAAAAAGAAAAGAAAAGGGAAACAGTACCGACTATTTTCTGCTTATGAAAAAAAAAGAAAAAAATCCTCTGCACTTTGAACACCCATTTCCTTTCTCTTTTCGAATCCGAATTGGGAAGGGGACCTCTTTTTTAGAGTTCAGACCCCTCAGGATGGCTTCAAGCTGAGCGAGGGAACTTCACTGGATTCCTAATTAACATTCAGCCTCTGTCTCGTGTGTCCCTAGGACATTCGGCAGGGAATGCGTACAGTTTCGTTCAGGATGTAGCCATGTAGAATTTTTTTTTTTTTTAAATCAGAAAAGAAAGAAAGAAAATGGATTAACACCACGGTTAATAGCAAAACAGCCAACTTAAATGATGGGGATGCTGCAGCCTGCATCCTAATGCTTGATGGATGCAGGGGAAAAGAAGAAATCACTGATGGTTCACGCTCTGTCACTTCTCCCCTGCTTAGAAAAAAAAATGCCATCTTGCAAGTGCGATATATAAAGCACGACTGCAATAATTTTTCATCATTAAAAATTAATCTAGAAGAATTTTTCCACTGAGATTTTCAATCCATTTAACATTCACCACAAATTCAGCACATCCACACATGCAAGGATTTCTTCTCATGCACCCATCTGGCCTCTCAGCATCCTTTCAGTTTAATCAAATGGAACAAAGCAAATGCAGAAAAATGTTTATTATACAACCCCCCCTCCAATTCCAACCTTAAAAACTGAAAAGAATAATTTATAGGCACAGTTTTAAAAGGGGCAATAAAATTAATAAGCAGAATGAGCCGGAGTGTGTGAAGATCACATCTTGAAAACGAAATAAAAGGCTGCATCCTTTCATCCAGGCAGAATTTTAAAAATTGTGAATATTAAGGAAATTCACAATATTGCTGGCAAACAGGTTTTAAGCCATGTGTGCTAAATGGATTCATGTGCTGGTGTTTAAGCTGCTGTGGGTGTACCACTGCCAGCACAGCCACCGAGCCCTGCTTGTCACAGGCAGCTTCGCAAGGCCCTAGTTCTGACATCTCATACAATATCTTTTGCATTTAGCTCAATCTGCAATTTCATTCATTTAAAGAAAAACATAACAGTAACAGAACATTACAATTTAGGCCTGCATTTGTTACAGTTAATAGACTGCTGAGTGTTTGCCTGTGACATCTTTGTTTTTTTCTAGTTTAAGGAATCAGAGCCATATCAGTGGCACAGCTCAAGTTACATTTTCAATTAAAAGGAAAATAAAATGGAAATTGTGAATTAATAATGATAATAAACAATAAAGCTCTAATAATGATTTGTCTATAAAACTAAGCAAAGGGAGAGGAGGCGTTTTTGCTCACAAGACATTCAGGTAAACTAAAGCTGAGTAAAAAACTAGATTATTAATTAGAGGGGATCAACTTTTGTTTTAAAGGCTCCTGCGGGCTTTTTAGTTGTATTTTTATTAACCTTCCCTCTATGCTGGGGAGCTCTCAGAGGATGCCCACCACCACATCAGTGAACCCACAGCAGTTACTCACGTCGTGGCTGTTGGGGCTGCTTTCCGACTCGTTGACCAGAGATGACTTGATGTCTGCCAGGTCCCCTTCCTCTTCCGAGTGGCTCAGCTCGGCGAAAATCTGCTCCTTCTGCGGGTCCCCCTCGTCTTTGAACGGGATCATTTCATCTGTGGCGCAAAGCTCCGGGTCTCCGCCGCCTGATAACTGGGGCATTTTTTCACAAAGTGTTTCGCTTCCCCGAGAAAACCGAAGACAACAACGCGTGCCACCACTGCCCCGAAACTACACAGAAATAGAGAGGGGGAAAGATGAAAAAGGAAAAATAAAAAAAACTCCCACCGAAACGGAGTGGGGACCGTTGCCTTCCCCCCCTCCACCTCCTCCCCTGTGTCACACCGGAGAGTCACCCGGAGAGGAAGCGGCGTGCGAGCACACTGCCGGTGTGTTTTTACTGAAGCAACAGGAGGCGCGAGGCTGCTGCCGGCGTCCTTTTGTTGTTGTTTTTTCACTTCTTTTCTGTTCTTTTTCCGTCGCGAGAGTTTAACTAAGCTTGAAACTCACACACTAAAAAAAAGTGAGATGCAAAGCGGTCGGAATGAGAAGTCCAGTGCACGCCTCAATGTCATGAGGAAAACATAAAAAGGGGGAACAAACCACGAGTTAAAATCTCATCACCATCTTTTTTTCTCCCCTCTCGCTTTCTTTCTTTTTTTCTGTTTGAAGTCAGCACGCGACGACCGCCGCGTTCCCGTAAAAACGACTCAACGTGAAAAAGTACATTTAGAAAAGTGAGAGAAGATATTTCCTCGGTGGTCCCGGAGACGAAGCTGCGAGCGTCCTTCAGTGTGCGTGTGGAGAGGTTGGAGGGAGGGGGGAAGTAAGACGAGGAAAAGGGAAAAGAAATTAAGTGATGGATGTGTAAATGGAAGAAAACGCAGTTGTTGTTGGGGTTTTTTAAAACAAGCAAATACTTGGGCGACAAGCAACGCAGCGAGACGCCGTGATGCTTAAAAATACATCCTCGAAGCTGCTCGTCGGAGGAGGGATAAAAGCAAAAAGAAGAAGAAAATCACAGAAAACAATCAAAAAAAGAAGGCAAGAGTGGAAAAACGCGTGGACCCGACTTCCCACTGCTCCCGCACCGCTTCCACAGCGTAATGTAACCAGTGTGTGTATGTGTGTGTTGGTAATGTAGCCGTGCTCCCTCCTCCTCCTCCTTTTTCTCTCTCTTCAGTCACTGGGAGGAAAGAGAGATGAAAGGGAAGCCGAGGCTCTGATTGACACCGCACCGATTGACACTCCTCCTGAGAGAGAGATTTATACACAGCTCACAACAAATGGGCAGACAGGAGGGGAGGAAAAGGAGAATGAGCGGAGAGGCTGGAACTTGCTGTGGATGTGATGGGTTAAAATAATGAGGAGACATAAAAAATGATAATTGAAATATAGAGGGAAAAATATTGGACAAGCTTAAGCCCGTTTTGTTGGTGCTGCGTGTGATTTAATCAATCTGCAAGAAGTGGCAATGGCCTGTTTTGGAAACAGAAACAAAAAAAAATGATAAGCTGAAGGAAGTTTAGAAGAAGAAAAACACACAACGTATTCTCCAAGTGTTGGAAAAAATATTACACACACATACACATACACACACGTATGTATGTATCAGGTGTATGTCTATACGGGGACATAGGCCTGTTATTTATTCAGCTTCCTTTAAACTACCTTGCGGTATATCGTGGGCATATTTGTGGCTACATGGTGCTTTCCATGTTTTCTACTTACATCAAACAAATAAGAACGTATTCAGAAGGTGTCTTCGCTCCCCAAAATGGACAGATTAAAAGAAAATGTGATATTGTACTCACAGGTTACCTGCCTATATTTAAAGTCCCTTTTTCATATTAATTCATTATTAGCACATGAGCAATGAAATTAACAAAAATATAGAAAACAGTTTAAAGGCCAGCCATTGGTCTGTTTGCTACTTTTACCACTGAAAAAACCCGTGAATATCAAGCCGCAGACGAGCGGATAAATATTTATAAGAAAAAAAAGAGTACTTTAATGCCGATGTATTTAATGAGAAAATACAGTTGTTGCTTTGTTGTTTTAAGAAAAAAGAAAGTAAACAAAACAGGCAGTGGAAGTGGCTGAGTTTCTGCATCTGTCTGAGCACTAAGAGATTGCGTGAGAATCAAAGTTGGGATGGGGAGGCAGATCTTTATAAAGCGCGGAGGTGGGGTTAGCGGGGCGGAGCCGCGGCTGCCTTTGATCTTGCGGCGGCTGGCTCTTTCATCCCCGACTCCCCCCCACACCGCGCTTCCACCGCCACCTCCCTCCCTCTCTCCCTTCCTCCCTCTTCCACCCCTCCCCTCCTCCCCCTCCTGCACTCCCTCGCCTTTGTATGACTAAATTTGGTCTGAGTGTGGAGTCGGGCCAACATTTCCACGTGTGCGTTCATCCCAGCTGAGAGAGAGAGAGAGCGAGGGGGTTCTCTTCCGGGTAAGGAGACAGCGAGGAAAAAAAAAAAGATCAAAGGCTTTTGGGTTTTGGAAGCCGAGTGTGGATTCAAAAGAGCCGAGACTGGCTGCATTCCAGAGTATAGCGGAAAGCGCGCTGCTGCTGCTGTCGCCGCACGCGCGCCGCGCGTACGCACACACATTCACGCACAAGTCGGCTACGCACGACCGCAGCAGACGCACACTAACACGCGCACAAAAACAGCAGTGAAAAAGAGAGTTAATTAGAAAGATTTCACACAGGCAGACAAGAACAAGCAAAGCTTTCATTTAAAAGACCCTTTAACAGTATTTTTTTCTTGTTTCCAGCCAAAAACTGTGATAGCCTACAAGGTAGGGAAAAAAAAGAAATCTTCTCTTCTCGGTAGGAACTGTCGGTTCTACTTCATTACATTGTTAATTTAATTATCCGGCACTATTTTTTTTCCTGGCGCGATCTCAAATGATGCTACAGCACCAGCACCACCACCCTAAAGCCATGCTAACAGAAGCAACCTAACCGTTTTTACACTTGTATAAATATATTTTTCTTTTTTTCTCTCCTGCATGTGTTCTGCATTTACCTTGGATATGGTTTTAAATGATAAAATTGGTAGAAAGGGAACAATCTGGGAAGAGGAGGGGGCGACTTTTGGTTGCATTAAGGCCTATTAAGATACTAAAAAAGAGAGTACAGGCCTGCAGGGCCTCTGAAGTGGAAAGATCCCACAGTGCTAAAAAAAAAAAAAAAAAAGGAAACAGATTAAATATAACTCACAAGCATAAATGACTCATGTTTATTCTTTGGTTTTTGGTTTATTGGCATTCAAATACGTGGTAAAATGCAACATATAAACCTTAATCCTAATGCTCTGTTTTCAGCATCAGTGAGACACAGTAGGCCCCAGTTTAACGGTCTAAAAACACACTCAACAGATTCATACTTTATGTTTCCCATTTGATTACAATTATATACAAACATGATTTAAACTGATTGCAGTGTGGATTTAATGCACACTTTGGTGCCAGTGCCAGATGAAAGACTGGCAGGGAGACAGTTCTTCACAGCAAAACTCTTCCCAAAGAATAAATGAATTTTTGTATATTAATATGTGATTATACCCTATGCAATGTATAAAATGCATAAAACAAACAATTATATAAAACCATAACAATGCTTTATTTTTTTTTTTTAAATCAAAAGGTGGCTTGCAAAGGGTAATTTTGACCTTCTTAAACTAAATATGCAAATAAACAGAGACAATCAGCAATAGATCAAAGATTTTTACAGAGATAATTTCTTAACTTTTATTTCTAAAATGATTTTTGCATATACAGCACAGCATCTGTGGAACCCTTATCAGCAAGCAGATAAATCAGCAACAAAGCAGTCCAGACCAAGAAGATATTTACTATGATTGAAGATAAATTAACACTAATAAGAAAAACTAATAATATCTGCACAATTGAATCACAAAAATAAAACAGATTTTTCCATCATGACAGATTGAAATTTTTTTTCAATAAAATTATGAAACATAGTGGATCAGTGACAGAAGTAGTTATGGAAACATAAAAACATTTATCAGTAAAACAATTGAATGCCAACTATCAAATACCTGTGTATACTTTTATGTTATATTGTTATTGCAAATGTTTCATATTTCATAATGCTACATATTAGCTTGGTTTGGCCTCAGCTGAATTGTGTTTCCAGCTGGGTTTGGGTTTTTATTGTTTATTGTAATTTAATATTCTGGTCTTGGAAAGAAAGCTAGTTTGTGAGAACCATGAGTGAGGGAGAGATCCATTATTAAATACCCACTGTTACATGATGAGAGACCACTACAGGAAGTCCATCTTCCTGATTAGCAACCCTGAGAGGTGAGGTTATTTGTTCACTAGGTGACACACACACACACACACACACACACACACACACACACACACACACACACACAACAAACACATAACAAACACATAACATACAGCTTTTGTTTGCTGTGTAATAATTCTAGTTTGGGACTTGATGACAAGGCAACCAGCGACAGCCTCTCTAATGAACTGCTGTCAGAACCACCTAACACACCTTCCCTTGACATGAAACTGCATTATATATTCCAGCTTGGCTCTATGCATCACGGCCCTCGTTGTTAAAACAAGCAGGACAGTTGAAGTGGGAAGAAAAGAGAGAGAGAGAAGGAAGAAGGGGAGGAAAAAACAGAGCTACATTAGCATTTCTCTCCTAATGAGTTCATAAGAGTGACCCCTCTGGATCTCACATGAAAAGGAAGATTTCCTGCTGCGTTGTGACCTGAATTCAGTTGTCTCTCACTTTAGATACTCCATTTTGCATGTTATATAAAAGGAGAAATATATCTATATACACGGCATAATTCATCACCAGCGGATTCTGATTTCTTTTCTCCCTCCTTTAAGACTGGTAGTCTATCTCAAGGAAGAAATAAATATTTTAATGGTCTGCACATTGTGGTAAGACCCAAAGTGTTGATGAATTTAATAATGCATATTTAGCTTATTTTGTTTTATATGATGTTTTTCCTCCTCTTGTAAAGTTGGGACAGGATCTCGGTTTCGCATACAGTATGAATTGTGTCAAACAAAATGCTCTTTGTTGGAACAACATTCAGTCAAGGTCCTCTTTAGATCTATTATTGTCTCATCTTTTATCTGTTCTATTTTCATTGCGATGCATAACACTTCAAACAAAAATTACCCTAATTATCTCTTGTTCCCACACTGTGCTGTGTATGTGTGCTGTGTCTGTGTGTGTGAAATCAGCCTAGTCGGTGTTATCATTTGTCCTTATCAGTTACTTAAATGACTTGCCGGGTGATTTCAATGCTGAAATCATTACTCTGCCTTCTATTCCACCTGCTAGTCATACATAACAACTTCCTTCATGTAAAAAAAATTACAGCCCTTACACTCGCAGCCACCTTCAAGAAAACGACAGGAAACAAACATTAAATTATGATGAAAAGGCTTGCAATTAAAGCCGAGAAAAGACACCATTTATCAAACGTGCAAATCAAACCTGGGGGAGGTCCGGGTTGAGTGATTATTGGTTCAGCCCTTTGATTGGTGGAAGATGAGTCAACTTCTTGAAGGGAAGGAAAGTGTCTTGGGGGTAAGGTGAAGGAAGCGAGAGGCAGGCCTGTGATCTGTTGATTTATGGCAATGTTGTCAGAAGTTTGTCTCAGACAAACTGTCATTAAAATGAAATTATCTCCTTGATGGAAAGGAAGGGGAATTTGTCAGGTTATGTAGATGTATTTAGTTTTGAAGCTTCAATTTTAGAACTGTGGCTGTTGCCGTCTTAGTTGTTTGTTTTGAGGTTTTTTGTTTGTTTTGTTTGATCGGGGGGCCAGCAGGGTGTTAGGTTTATTTCTATGGCCACAAAAAGATTTACGGTTGTGTTTTTTTTTCCTTTTTTCTGTGAGAAAAAGCATATTTGAGCATATTTGGATATGTGTTATTAGCTATATACTGTGTGGATTCATTGCAAAGATACAAGTACTGGCTACATTTTATTTTAAAAAAATAAAAGTGAAATTGTAGACTTGCTAAAACACAAAATTCTTAGGTAGGGTTTCAATGAATGAAATAACTGAGGTGAAGCCGAGCAGAGAGCTTGTCATGAGTAGGGAAGCTCACACACTTCCGGGGAAGTCTCAAGTGGCAATT